TGTTGTTGTAGTTGTTGTTGGTGGTGGTTGTTGCTGCTGCTGACCCTGTATCAAACGGAGAAGCAGCAGCCTTTGGATGTACTAGCCGGCATGAGAAAGCAGAAAGCCTGAACAACCCGCAGGTCTTACGCCCTGTGCCCAGTCTCTCAGCAGAAGCTTCGGCAACGGCTCGTTGGAGGGACTCTTTGGCCTCCTCAACATGCGGGGATGTCGCTTCATGGATATATCCTAATCATATGTGAGGCCTGCAAGGCACGCAGCACAATGGGACACCCCTAGCTTCTTGTGGCTGCAGGCCCCTGTAGTTCTGCATGCAAGGAATCCATGCACAGTACGCAGGTAGGCATGTATGTAGACATATAGACTCATACGCACATGTAGTAATGTGTAGACAGATAGATAGATAGATAGATAGATAGATAGATAGACAGATAGATAGATAAACAGACAACAGAGAGAGAGATAGATAGATAGACAGACAGACAGACAGACAGACAGACAGACAGACAGACAGACGCAGAGAGAGACAGAGAGATAGATAGGTAGGCAGACAGATAGATAGAAGATAGATACATAGGTAGATAGTATAGGTAGATAGATACCGATACTCATGTGAATGTGTCTCCACAACTGGAATTTTTCCTGGTGCCGTGGCCAGGATGGCGAGTAAAGAAGAAGATGCGAACAGAACTGGCTGGAACAGACCCCATGTAACCTTAAACCGTGGACCCTAAACCCTTTACCTCAATTCCTAAACCTAAACCCTAACCTCCATACCCTAAACCTTAAATCCTGAAGCCTAAACCTTAAACCCCAAACCTTGAGCCTTAACACCCGAAGCCTGCAGACCCCGCATGTCGGTCCCCACAGAGCCCAGCACCCTTTAATTACGGACTGTACCTCAACCACGATGTGAAGGCCCGGATAACTTAACAATAATTTAAGGTGTAGTCTTTCACTAAGGAATAGACTCTGAATAGACCTTATATAACCCAAAATATTCAGGCCCCCGAACACTTAAGGCAGATTCCGCGATGAAGGAGTATACCTGAATTCCGTAATGAAGGAATAGACCTTGAACCCCCCCCCCCCCCCCCCC